GTGTGTGCCTTGTGTGTTTTGAGTTGTGGGTGTGTGTGGGTGGGGGGGGGGGGGTGCAAGGACAATGAGGGCATGATGGGACTTGTAGTTCCCTGGGTGATGTGAAGGGGTGTACAGGGACAATGAAGGCGTGCTGGTTGTTGTTGAACTAAAAGTCCCAGCATGCCTTCATTGTTATACCGCCAGGGTCGCAGTGGTCGCATGTGCGACCAGGCACTGGCATTCTTCTACTTGGGGGGCCTGGAAAGGAAGAAAAAGGCCCAGCCCAGTAATCGCCGAGTCCCCGACATATCACCTTTATTATATCTGTAGGACGTACTGGACATAGTGCTGCACCACTGATTTAGAATTAAGAATATAGGATTAATTTATAGAAATAAATTTGGAGAATGGATAATTTGACTTCTTTACAGCACATATATTTATTATGGCTTTATTGCCATGATATTTTCAAAACGATAATATAGTATTTCTCACCATATTAATAAAGATTTAACCTGGTATTTAGTGTTAGGTTAAGCTCAAGTTGACAGTTTTTGGGTAGGTTTGCAGGTTAAGTTAACATTTAGGATTAGGGGTAATCTTGAGAAAAAGAGGATCTGTACTGTAGAAGTTGGGGCCAAAAAAAGCAAACAGAGGGCAAAAACAAACAAACTAGGCAACCGTATTGACTGTAGGCTTTCCTGCAGCTGATTTTTCCCCATTACTGACTTACTATACCTTGTTTGGTACTATCTCTCTGTGTGGAGGCAGCCATCCTGGTAGAGGTGCAGGGCTTTACTTCTTTTTGTCAGATCTGCTCCCTAATGACTGGTGGAAGAAGCAGTAGTAGAGATGAGACAAAATCAGGAAGATCCTTGAACTGCATGTCCCTAGGTACAGCTTCCACCTCAGTAAGCAGCACACTAGCGGCATCACCAAATCTCATGCCAAATCTTCTTAGACCATCAGTCAGAGGCAGCAGTACCTTAGATCCCCAACCTTTTTATCGCCGCGGACCATGCTGCCTAGGGTGTTGTCCAGTAGCAACCATTTTCTCACTGTTCCAATTGCCTCTGTGGTGGGTATGCAGGTGAAGAGGGATGTGACATCGTAGGATACCATTGTTTCTTCTCTGCCCAATATTAAGTTCTGGATTTTGTTTCTGAAATCCTGAGAGTTCTGTATGTGGTGTTGTGTATTTACAACCAAAGGGGCAAGGACTCTGGCTAAGTATTTTGCCACGTTATAAGTCAGTCACAGAGTTTATGCTGCTGACAATTGGCCTAAGAGGGGTCCCATCCTTGTGCATCTTCGGAAGTCCATATATACACGGAGGTTCATTTATATATGGTAGTAGCGCTTCTTTACTCCCCTTTTTTAGCTGAAAAATAAGGCCCTCTTCTAGTTGATTAATAGTATGTTTTAAGGCATAAAGTGTGAAATGGTTCTGCCGCA